GTAATTGAAAAACTGTAAAGTAGAGTTTAATGTCACACTGTGGAACATTCCAGGCAGAGTAATGATGTATCCATGGAAACAAGCAGGTGACAGACCCTCCACGAAAGGGACACAGTGAGGTACAGCGAGGTACAAAAGTGCTGCACAAGTCTTACATCTTCTTCTTATGACACAGTGCACTTTTAAAGATGAAATCAGAAGATAAATGATGTTTTCTGACTTTATCTTCTCCAACATTATTCAGGTGAATGTAGTGATGTAAATATCAGAATATGATTTACTGCCATTGTGAATGAAATTTAAAAACTAATTCATATGATCAAACACTTGTGTTTGCTCAGGGTTTCATGCTGTAAGAAAATACAGACTTTTATATACAGATGTGCAGCTTGTACCTGAATCACAGGTTCTACACTGGAAACACGCCGTCCTCGCTGTGGGCTTGTTCATGTATGTCCCACTGTCACACTGGACACACCAGGTACTGTGGAAGTCTGTGCAGTCTCGATAGACCCGAGTGCCTGTCAACAGCAGATAAATAAAAACATTATAATTCATAACACGACCAGAGAAGCACACACACCGACTCCACACATGGGACAACACTTCTCTCCGATCATATATTCATCTTGGCGACAGGTGAGGCCTGAGGTCACCTCAATCACAAAAATAATCTGTGAACAAAACAAAAACAGATGTTGTTCAGTCAATGGGTGAAGATACTTTTCCATTTGATTAAATCTCCTGTACGACACTAAACTGACTCCTGTGAGATGAAACGTCCCAGTGATAACAGTATTTTTTCAAAAATAAAAACTTAAAATGCACTGTTCCAAATGATTCTGCACAATAGAGTTTCATTTGCATAATCATTTGGAATGCATTTTAAATTGTGAATAACTAAACATTTTCCTCTCATTCTTGAATTTCATTTACATTCATAAAATGTGGGTGTGGCTGACCCACAAAGAAAAAGGCATTTTCAGAAGTTTTAAATCGTGTGTAAGTAGAACGCAGCGTCCTGTTGTCTGACATTGATGTACATTTAATGATCTGACTGTAATGATTTACATTTGCCATAGCTGAGATGTTAAATGGCTCTACAGCGCCCCCTCCAACTTTGGACTGGGATCAGAAGAAGGTGTTTGTCTTAGAATTTACTTTTAGATGAACTTTTATATTTTACATAAGTGTAATGTTTATTAATGGACACCGTCCCATTCAAAACGAAATAAATTAATGAATAAAACATTTGAAATTTGGTGCACTCATCCTTTCTGCTAAACTGAATAAAAAAGCCAATGAAGACACACCTCTATCTGCAACCGCCTATAACACAGTGTGCAGCTTTAACTGGATTTAAAATAACTCTTTACTCTCAGTTTGGCATCTCCAAAACTTCCAAAGCCACAAAAGAGATGAAAATCTTACCAAAATGAACAGAAAAACAGTGACTTCCTCCTGCCTCTTCATGTTGTGTATAAAGTTGTATTCATGATGAGAACTCCTTTTGTGAGACGCTGAACTTCAGAATCTGAAATGTAAAGTTTTGTATTAGAAACATGAAATTTAACAAAAGACAAACACATTTTGAAAACTATTAATTCTGCTTAAATGTATCGTGAGGGTCTGTTGGGAATGTCTGGGGAGCCTCTGTGAGTGGGACTTTCAACTCACATGGAGTTACTGAACCTGGTGGTGAACACATCACACTGTGTGCAGCACGAAGGCAGACTGCTCAGTTATGTTAATCATGTCCTCAGTTGTACGTCACAGGGAGGGGCTACAGCACGGGTTACAGAAGGCAGGTGTGTGTCTAAGTATAAATAAATAAATAAATATGTATATATGTGTGTGTTTTATATTTATTTTTTTTTTTCCCTAGTTCTCGGAGCCAGTTCTTCAATAAATATGCCAAAAAGCGGCATTTCATCTCTCGTCTGCTCTTTTTTCACCCGTATGCAACGCTGGCTGTAACAAAAGCACACCGTAACTCAACAGAACAGAGACCCTTCCACACTCTGAAATGTTCTGGACATTTAAAAATCTATGGAGTAAGAAGCTTTCAGAAATATTCGTGCGCATAGAAGAGAAATCCGAGAAAGAAAGAGAAAATATTTGGCTGTAGTTGCGCATAAAATAAATATTATAAGTCAAAGTAATACAGTGAAAACTATAATATAGTGAAAACTAAAATATGAAAACTATAATATAGTGAAAACTATATTACTTTAAAATTTATTTAAAATAGTTTTCACAAAAAATTCGAGACGATGTGGAGCAGGTTTTAAGTAAATTACAGTGAAATACTTACGAGTTTGTCGAGACGTGGACGTGGACATAGCCTCACTCATACTCATACTTGTCGTTTATCCTCAGAGGTTTCGTTTTTGCATTTCACCATCAGGTGGCGCACTCTAACAGTCCGTCTGAGTTATTACATCATTACGTCCTTACGCTCAGTGTTTGTTTGGAGAAGTGGACGCGCTCACAGATGGAAACAGAATGATTTTTTGTTTTGTTTTTTACGCACAGGTGTTTTGTACAAACATCTGTGTCCTGAAGAACTTCTGACACTTCTTCATCTTCTTCATCATCTTCATCATCTTCATCATCTTCATCACGCAGAGCGACGCAGAGAACATTTACAGAACCTCCTCCTCATCACCGCACGGACCAGCGGTGCAGAGTAACGAAGTAAAAGTAACTAACTGTACTGTACTAACTGTACTGTACTTCAGTCAAGTACAGATACTTCAATTCATACATAAGTATATTTTAATGTGGATACTTTTTACTTTTACTTCACTACATTTGAAAGAAAGTATTTGTAATAATAATAATAATAATATTTATTTATAAAGCACTTTTCAGGACACTCAGACATTTTACAGACACAGATTAAAACAGCAATAAACAAATAAGACAGATCAATAAAAAGCAAATCTGTGACTGAGAACGACGTCTGGATCTGGTTTTGAAGTTTGTAGTTTGAAAAAATATATATCATTAAAAACAGCAGGAAAAACAATTCAGCACAAACTATTATTAACCCTCTCAGGCTCAAATTCATTTTTAGTATCAGGAAAAATCAGATATTTGGGGAAAATGATCATATGTGTAGTAATATACAATCCTGACTTTAGTTTGAGAGACGTTCACATCAGTGTGTCTGGGATGTTTCAGATTTGGTCTGGTGATAAATTAACACTGAAGACTGAAAATGATATGAACTCTAACTTTATTTGTGTTTCACTTTTTATAACAATGAAAACATAAAGCTCAGTGTAAAAGTGTTTTACAGCGGCAGAACAACATCACTTTATCTTGTGTTTCTCCAAGAAACAATTTTTATCCTTTATAAACAACAAAAGTACTTTGCACTTCTGGCAGGTCGTTTGTGTGGAGTTGTTCTTACACAGTCTGTATCGTCCATGTTTATCAGCAGGGATGAGAGAAAAAGGCTCCTGAGTAAAAAAAGCTCATAAAATATGGATTTGGAGTCAGTAGGTCATTGGAACATCTGCCTGGAGAGGGATAATAAAAATTACAGTTGAAGCTTCATAAAACCTTAAAATTTACACAAAATGTTCTCATGTTTTACTTTTTAAGTACATTTTGAAACAAGGACAGTGCACAGAAAACATTCAGCTTTAAAAGAAAAGATCCTCTGCAGCTACAAGAGTCAAACTCTTTCCCATGTGCAGTCGTCAGGCAGAGGCAGGAGACACTGAAGACACTTTTACATAAAGCTCGACTAACAGCTCTTCATCATAACAAACAATTCAAGTCATCGTTAAAAATAAAAATAAAAAATCATTCTGATCACGTCCCATCAATACAAAGTTTCAAATTCCTCATTAAAAATAAAAATATAACAAAAATACAGTAAATACAGTGAATTGTTATTAATATCCTTCGTAATGCAGTTATCAAAGTCACCAGTTTTATTATTGTCTAAAATACAATCTGTCGTCAACATCATCATAAAGACACATTTTATTATTATTCAAAGACGGCAGCACATCTGCATCTGTGAAACATCTGCATCTGTGAAACATCTGCATCTGTGAAACATCTGCATCTGTGAAACATCTGCATCTGTGAAACATCTGCATCTGTGAAACATCTGCATCTGTGAAACATCTGCATCTGTGAAACATCTGCATCTGTGAAACATCTGCAGCTCAATCTGTCCACGTTTAAACGTTAAGGCTGATTTATGGTTCTGCCACACAGCTCCAGATGCACCTGACTACTGTAGTACTACAAAAACTACTGTAGTACTACAAAAACTACTGTAGTACTACAAAAACTACTGTAGTACTACAAAAACTACTGTAGTACTACAAAAACTACTACACTCTGAACTTCCACCAGGAGCTGTGATTGGTTGAACCACAAAAACTACACGACTGATTCAAAACAGACTAGAACAGATAAAGTTTGGCACAGAAAATGTCACATACAAACCAAATGTGATTGTTATTTATTTATGTGACGTTGAAAAAATAATGAATTCAAATGAAATAGTCTGGATTCCCATGATGCACCTGGGCCCCTGAGGAGCTCTGCAGAAGCTCATCAGGGTCAAGTCTAAATAAAACTGGCCTTTAGAAGAAGCGTGAAGCTGCTCCTGACCTTTGGTTCAGAGCTACAGTTTCATCCATGAGAGAAAATGCAGGAGCGAGTGCAAGTTTTAGTTCAGTTAAGTTACTGTTCCAGTTTGTGCTGCTGTGTGACAAACACACAACTGTAAGCTTCATATTGTTACAGGAAACTTCAGCAGGCGACAAAGTGAAACTTTAAAATGGAAGTGTAAGAGAGAAATGTTTGTTCAGAGGCTCCAGTGCCAAAAACAGTCACACACACACACACACATACACATACACACACATACATACACACACATACATACACACATACATACACACACACACACACGCACACACGCACACACGCACACACACACACACACACACACACACACACACACACACACACACACACACACACACACACACACACACACACACACACACACACACACACATACACACACACACACATACACACACACACACACACACACAGAACAAACAGTGAGTGTGTTTACATGTGCACGAGGATCCTGGTTATGACAGTATTCTGGACGTGCTCAGAGAAACCAGGACACTCATGTCCCTGTGCACATGAGGAATCAGAGTATCCTGGATACTTAAGAGTGGTTGCTATGGTAACTATGGCACAGATATGACAAGGAGCAAACTTAAGGCTATTTAACAGGTTTCTAAAAAGAAAAAGAAAACAAACATTCAAGTAAGAGCATAAGACTGTGGAGCTGTGTAAAAGGAGTTTTTAACACAACACTGAGTCTCACAGCGTCAGTTTAGCAGCACAGACACAGAGCTGAGCCTGAAGTTAAAATGTGGTTCTATTAAACAAGAAATAGCCTTATTTTCTTCAGAAGTATAAAATATTATTACTTTAAAAGTTCTGGGAGAAGTTTGAGTCATTTTGGGAAAGTTGCTGCTCCTGTCATTTCTGTTACTTGAGTTGGCAGATGCTCAGTGCAGCTCCAGTGTTGATAAATCAGACACAGTGTCCTGATCCTCTCACAAAAACCTGGTTTCTCATCACAGAGACACTGGTTTATCAGGAGACTGTGTTGAACATAGATACTCACAAAACCAGGAGACTGAACAAGCCCGATCATATTCCGCATACTCAAGCACATGTAAACACACTCACTATGTTTAAAGTTCAAAAAGAGAAACACTAGAATGACACGTACTGATGGAACTACAGAACACCAGTGCAGACTAGACCAGTGACTTTGACTCACTGACTTCCATTCATTTTGCAGTTATAAATATGGCCCAGGCCTTCGGCGTGGGGGCTTGGACACAGCTTGATGTCAGGAGTGTGTTTGGGGGACAGGAACACTTATCACTACAATGAAAATGTATGTTCCACATGTTCCATGACTTCAGCAGGGGTTGCTAGGATACTGCTGTTAACAGAGGCGACTGAGAAACCATTTGTGAGACCGTTAGTTTGTACTTCCTGTAGGGGCTCAAACCTAATCAAATTTAAATCTTGTACTTGTCCTTGTTCTTGCCCTTGTCTTATTTTCTTGTAAAGAAGTAAAGCCAATGAGAGTATCAAACAGAGTACAAACAGAGAGACACTGATCACAGCGCCTAATCTAACTGAGCTTATTTCTGCAAATTTAGCGTCCGACTGTGAGGTTCCTTCTTTCACTGTGACTTTGTCCTTCTCACACCTGGAACAGAACAGAACAGAACAGAACAGAACAGAAGAGAAGAGTCACAGTCACAGTCAGCAGGACTCCTCATGCAGAGCTCATATTGTACTAAATGTGTTCTTACCGTGTGTGTGGCTGACAGGACGACAGAGTCCCACCTGAGAAGGAGCCCTGAGGACACGGAGAACAAACTGTGTCTGCAGAAGAACTCCCTGTGGACACACAGATCACAGGTCACACACAAACACTATTGGATCAGAGTTTAACCAGAGCAGCTCAACCCACAGGCAACTTTCAGACCTCAGAGTGACACAATAAACTTCTAACGAGACTAATTATACAACCCTTTACTGCAGAGAAACCTACAGAAACTTCTCATCATGCACTACAACTACCGTATCTTTAGTCAGGACACTTCCCCCGTGTTGTCTGTATGAACTGGGGACATTTTATAAAATCTTGGAGATAAAGACCACTCCATGAATGTGCACAAAGCTCTCCATGATGTTCTCTTCCTAACCCTAATCCAGGGCTGTTGTTTTCACAAATGTTTAAGTGCAAGACTCTAAACTTAAATCGATCTCGATGATAAGACATGCTCATTTTAATCTAAAGGTCTACAGCCAATCATGTGGCAGTCAGAGCATGTGGCGCTGAAGACGAGTCACCAGACTCTTGTTTAGGTGAAAACTCCAAATCACAGTGTGTCTCTTTGTCTCCCCATGTGTCCTCACATTTACAAAATTTGGACTTTAATCTGTACAATTTGACTAAAAGTCCAGTGTCATGACTTAGTCATAGTGGTAGTACTACGAGTAAACAGAGTTCTGTTACTTCAATAAAACTATGATTCAAGTAGGAGTAAAAGTATTTTGGTAGAAAAGTATTGTGAAAAGTAGAATCTCTTGTAAATATAAGTGAGTCGTCCTCTGTGCTGCGTCTGTCTGGACGTTTAGGAAACTGTGGCACAAACAAAAACCTTTTATTTTTACCATTTTCTGCTTCAACAGACAAATCAATGAATAAATACAAGAGACAAAATGAACAATAAATCACTTCTAATCACTTTCACCATCACAGAACAGAACTTGGGTGAAGAAAATATCCATTTATAAAATATGTGTGTGAAGTCAGAGTTTTAAATCAGAGCTGTTCTACAAACTCCACTCAGAACGTTTCAGGTCACAGTTTCTTCTCACTGAAGAAGTTCTGGACTGAATAAATACAAACCAAATCCTCTGCTCAAAAAAACTCAAAGAACATTTTTACACTTCAGATTCCAATGTGAAAAAAATACATCAAAACAAATGTCTGAGAAACAAAATGATGCTCCTCTGTTCATGGAAATAAAATGAACCCAAGAGTCTGAGGAGGAACCTGGAGCATGTGATGGACCCAAACATCATGTCCCAGAGGTTCTGTCAGGTTTAAGTCAGGTGATGGTGAAGGACGTTCAGTCGTATTGATCCTTCATCCTCCAGGTTCTGTCAGACGAGCTGTGTGTCCCTTCATGGATCTGCCTCCTCAGACCATCACTGACTCACCACCAAACCCTCCTCGAGGAACGTTCTCCTCGTCTTCTCCAGACTCTTTCTCGTCTGTCACAGGAGCTCAGGATGAACCAAAGCAGCACGAGTGGAAAAGCAGCCAAAAAACACCACGAGGAGAAACTGGAAATGAACTCCACATGTGAAACCAGCTCCTGGTTCAGGGTCCAGTCCCGGTTCAGGGTCCAGTCCTGTTTCAGGGTCCAGTCCTGGTTCAGGGTCCAGTCCTGGTTCAGGGTCCAGTCCCGGTTCAGGGTCCAGTCCTGGTTCAGGTCTCACTGGTGTCACTTTACTGCCTCTGTGTTCATTTCCATGAAAAGAGGAGCATCTGTTTGTTCCTCAGACGTTGGTCTCTTCACATTTGTATTGATACACAACAGATTTTTCACATTGATTTTCAAAGTGTTTCTTTATTTTCTTGAGCAGTGCAGCTTTGATTGTGTAAAGTCAAACATGTGCAGCTCAGTGCAGTTTTATTGTGGAAGTGCAGTTTGTTCTGAGTTGTTTTTCTCACCTGGTTGTTGGATAAATTCTCCAGGTGAACAGAGCGAGTGTTTCTGAGTCGCTTCACAGTTTCCCTCGTCTGACGACTTCACACAGAAGAACCTGTCCTCAGGTTCACACACAGTGTCAGACCAGGAGGAACATGGAACCTTCACTCTGAGACCAGAACCTGACACACACACACACACACACACACACACACACACACACACACACAGTTACACATGATCTCTGGACAAAAATGTAAACATTCCTAATTTACTGAAATGTAAATTTAAGGTAATGACAGAGTTCATGTAACAGCAGACAGTAAATCCTTAAACATGTGTCATTTATTCAGTCTGGGCTGAGATTAAACGTCAGGTTTTCATGTTTATCTGATCAGTTCAGTTTGGTGGAACAGGATCTGTCGTCAAAAGTGGAAAATTACAGGCTGCTGGTGCTGGGTAAAAAAAAAAAGTTTATATACAGAAGTTTAAAAGCAGAGGTGCAGTTCTTACCTGAATCACAGGTTCTACAGTGGAAACACTCTGTCCTCGCTGTGGGCTCGTCCATGTACGTCCCATTGTCACACAGGAGACACGTCGTGCTGCGAAACTCTGTACAGTGTTTATCCACTCGAGATCCTGTCAACAGCAGATAAATAAAAACATTATAATTCATAACATGAACGAAGATGAATGATCCATTATTTAAACTGAAAATCAAGATCTCAAACAACACGATTCTGGAAGCGTCAAAGCCGTGGTTTTTTGCAGTGTTTCTAACTGACCCAGAGAGAACACCCCTCTGACACAGAGAGAACACCCCTCTGACACAGAGAGAACACCCCTCTGTCACACAGAGAGAACACCCCTCTGTCACAGAGAGAGAACACCCCTCTGACACAGAGAGAACACCCCTCTGTCACAGAGAGAACACCCCTCTGTCACACAGAGAGAACACCCCTCTGACACAGAGAGAACACCCCTCTGTCACAGAGAGAGAACACCCCTCTGTCACAGAGAGAACACCCCTCTGTCACACAGAGAGAACACCCCTCTGTCACAGAGAGAACACCCTCTGTCACACAGAGAGAACACCCCTCTGACACAGAGAGAACACCCCTCTGTCACAGAGAGAGAACACCCCTCTGTCACAGAGAGAGAACACCCCTCTGTCACACAGAGAGAACACCCCTCTGACACAGAGAGAACACCCCTCTGTCACAGAGAGAGAACACCCCTCTGTCACAGAGAGAACACCCCTCTGACACAGAGAGAACACCCCTCTGTCACAGAGAGAAACACCCCTCTGTCACAGAGAGAGAACACCCCTCTGTCACAGAGAGAACACCCCTCTGTCACACAGAGAGAACACCCCTCTGTCACACAGAGAGAACACCCCTCTGACACAGAGAGAACACCCCTCTGACACAGAGAGAGAACACCCCTCTGACACAGAGAGAACACCCCTCTGTCACAGAGAGAACACCCCTCTGACACACAGAGAGAACACCCCTCTGTCACACAGAGAGAACACCCCTCTGTCACACAGAGAGAACACCCCTCTGACACAGAGAGAACACCCCTCTGTCACAGAGAGAAACACCCCTCTGACAGAGAGAGAACACCCCTCTGTCACAGAGAGAGAACACCCCTCTGTCACACAGAGAGAACACCCCTCTGTCACACAGAGAGAACACCCCTCTGTCACACAGAGAACACCCCTCTGACACAGAGAGAGAACACCCCTCTGACACAGAGAGAACACCCCTCTGTCACACAGAGAGAACACCCCTCTGTCACACAGAGAGAACACCCCTCTGACACAGAGAGAACACCCCTCTGACACAGAGAGAGAACACCCCTCTGACACAGAGAGAACACCCCTCTGTCACAGAGAGAACACCCCTCTGTCACACAGAGAGAACACCCCTCTGACACAGAGAGAACACCCCTCTGACACAGAGAGAACACCCCTCTGACACAGAGAGAACACCCCTCTGACACAGAGAGAACACCCCTCTGACACAGAGAGAACACCCCTCTGACACAGAGAGAACACCCCTCTGACACAGAGAAACACCCCTCTGTCACACACATTAGTTTATGTAAATGAGTCATGTGATTTAACGTTTAGTTTGTGTAAAACTTAAACAAATGTGTCAAAGTTGAATTAAACACTTTATAAAGTCAAACAGCTGATGTGGATCTAAACTGGTTTTGGTTGTAAAGTTGAGTTTATTTATGCAGATTAGTAACAGTAATAATAATAATAATGATCAGTTTAATAGAAAATATTAATGATTAACGATTAATGATCTAACACCTGGTTTAGTCCTGGTTTAGTCCTGGTTCAGTCCTGGTTCAGTCCAGGTTTAGTCCTGTTTAGTCCTGGTTAGTCCTGGTTCAGTCCTGGTTCAGTCCTGGTTCAGTCCTGGTTTAATCCTGGTTCAGTCCTGGTTTAGTCCTGGTTCAGTCCTGGTTCAGTCCAGGTTTAGTCCTGGTTTAGTCCTGGTTCAGTCCTGGTTCAGTCCTGGTTTAGTCCTGGTTTAGTCCTGGTTTAGTCCTGTTTAGTCCTGTTCAGTCCTTTCAGTCCTGGTTTAGTCCTGGTTCAGTCCTGGTTTAGTCCTGGTTAGTCCTGGTTAGTCCTGGTTTAGTCCTGGTTCAGTCCTGGTTTAGTCCTGGTTTAGTCCTGGTTTAGTCCTGTTAGTCCTGGTTCAGTCCTGGTTCAGTCCTGTCCTGGTTAGTCCTGGTTTAGTTTAGTCCTGGTTAGTCCTGGTTTAGTCCTGGTTTAGTCCTGGTTTAGTCCTGGTTCAGTCCTGGTTTAGTCCTGGTTTAGTCCTGGTTCAGTCCTGGTTGTTGACAGTCGTAGTCACTCTGGCACCTGCAGGTCCCTGACCTGGTGCAGGACTCTGGTCTGATGTAAGTTTCTGTGATGTTTGCAAATGTTCATGTGCATCGAAACTTGATTTGAAAAAAATTGTGGATGAAATCGAAATCACAATATCTGCCAGAAAAATCACAATTCAATTTTTTTTTCTTACAATCGTTCAGCCCTGACATGAACAGAGAAACACAAAACTCTGACACTTTGAGCTCTTCTTTCATCACTGATTTAAAGGACACATGGATCCAGAGGAGACAGTCTCCAGGAGAAACATCTGAGCTCGTCTGGTTTGTATAAACTCTGTCAGGGTCAGTGGTTTTACAAACTCAGGTCATGTGACGTGTCTGTGATCACAGCTGTGACACTGGACACACTGAGACTCAAGACAAGAACAAGACAAACACTCGACTGAACCAAGAGCAGAGACTCACAGAACAAACTCATGACCCTGAAAACAGCAGGAGATGATCCAGTCACAGACACAACAGCACTGAGACTGAACCACGAACCAACGAAGAGACACCAGGTCTAAACCACGAGAACCTCCCACTGGAGTTTAGAATAAAACTCACTGCAGGCGTCACATTCAGTCTGAGCCTGAGACTCTGAGCACAGACTCCACACACACAGGGTGTGGTCACACTCTTACTGCTTAAGATAAAAAAACTTTTACAAACACACGTTCCACACACGTATGTTGCCAGTATGAGTCAGTGGAGATAAACAACACAGTTTTAAAACTAATCACAGTAACAGACAGAAAGGACAAACATACAATAAAGAGAGTTAATAAAGAGTTTAAAATAAAGAGAGAAATGACACGTGTAAACACATGATACACATGAAGTTTAGGGTGAACAGACTGGGACAGGAGAGATCTGCAGGTTTGGGTGTGTGTGTGTGTGTGTGTGTGTGTGTGTATGTGTGTGTGTGTGTGTGTGTGTGTGTGTGTGTGTGTGTGTGTGTGTGTGTGTGTGTGTGTGTGTGTGTGTGTGTGTGTGGGTGTGTGTGTGTGTGTGTGTGCGTGTGTGTGTGCGTGTGCGTGTGCGTGTGCGTGGGTGTGTGCGTGTGCGTGTGCGCGCGTGCGTGTGCGTGTGTGTGTGTGTGTGTGTGTGTGATCTATCTATCATGTTGATAGATCAGAGTTGGTACACACCGACTGGACACATGGGACAACACTTCTCTCCGATCATATATTCATTTTGGCGACAGGTGGGACGTGTGGTCACCTCAATCACAAAAATAATCTGTGAACAAAACAAAAACAGATATTTTTCAGTCAATGGGTGAAGATACTTTTCCATTTGATTAAATCTCCTGTACGACACTAAACTGACTCCTGTCAACTTTAAGTTCTGTTCTAATACTGATCCCTCCTCACACACAGACCTGGACTTGTGTTTGTTTCATTCACATGTTTCAGTAAATCTTTATTATTTGTCTGTTTACATCTGCAAAGCTCCAAACACTCACTTCCACCTTGTGATGTCATGAAGTGGTAGGTTCCTTTTCACTTTAGTTCAGTCGAGATCGACTCTCCAGGACTGAAATGATCCAGATGATTCAAGTGAAGGTGTGTGGAGTTTAAAAAACACAATGGAGCACTTCCTGTATCACCACATGATGACATCACGAGGTGGAACAGAGTGTTTTCAGTTTGAGAGAAGAAATCCTGTTAAATCTGCAGGTTCGTGTGTTAAACACAACTGCAGGTCTGTGTGTGACCAGGAAACTACATTAGAACAGAAACTATGGTAACATGGGCTGTTTAAAGGAGCACTGTGTCACTTTTCTGGCTCTCTCTTCTTATAAACATAATTAATAAAATGATTGATCGATGTCGATGTGCACATCCACTAACTCTGTTACTCCAGTTAGATGTTGGAACACCAGAGTCAGTCTGTTTGTCCTACAGCCATTACCCTTAAACACATTAGAAATAATGGAGTCGACTGGACCCACGTCCACCACGTTTACGACCGTTCACTGTGCACAGAAACACTGTATGGACCATTTTATAATCAGAGCACAGGTCACTTCAATAAAAAGTGAAAAATATCCTTTGTTTCTTTGCTAAAGTAAAAACATGTTTTCAGTAGACTCCCTATAAAGGATTATTAAAATAGTGTTCATGTTTCAAAAGAGTTAAATAAATATGTATTGTAAGTTCATGTGTTTGTCGGTTCTTCTGGCGTTGGCTCTTGTGTTTTCACGAGTCTGGAGCACGAAAATGTGCAAAAATCACCCAGAAGCAAAGATGGACACGACAGTGAAGTCGATGAGCTGTAAGTTTGTGAGAAAGTCCAGAAAAAAATAATATATATAAATAAAGAGCTCCTTGAGATGCCTCCTCAAACTCTGATTTTCATGAGTTTAGGTTAGTTTAGTTTATTTAATGACACAGGGACAGTGAACAATACTTTAACCATAACAGGAGAGATGCTTTGTACACGGCTGTAGCTCCAGAGCTTTCCACCTGTCGTCTCTGGACAGGTTTACTTATTTATTTATTTATATATTTAATGAGACAGGGACAGCACCTTGACCATCAACTGTTCTTGGAGACCTGTAGCATGTTTCTGGGTTGATGTGGGAAACCGGAGCCCCTGGAGGAAACCATCCAGACACGAGGAGAAACATGCAAACTCCACACAGAAAGACCCGGGTGACCAGGGGATCGAACCCAGAACCTTCTTGCTGTGAGGCATGAGTGCTAGCCACTCAGCCACCGTGCCACCATGCCTGTCGTTGATGTTATAGCTCATACAATTAAACATACAAAGAGAATGTCTTAAACATGTTCTATAGTGTAACATTTGTCTGAGCGAGTGTTTGATTTGCTGTAACTCTGGGAGTGTCTGCACTGACTGACTGAGCTGTAGGAATGTGGATGAGTTTGTTTCTCCACGGAGATGTTCTGATATTCCCGAAATGTTCCACAGTTTGGAAGCTGTGCACAACAGTAGAGTCTATGAAAGTATTTCTGTCCTAATGTAATACATGCGAGTAGGGCTGGGCGATATGGAGCAAAAAATATATCTCGATATATTTTGCCATATCTCGATATATATCTCGATATATATCTCGATATATATCTCGATATGTGTACAGGAAAAATAACAAATCCACTGCAAAAACAAATTCCACAAGGTTCATTTAGGAACAAAGTCCTTCTGTGACATAAAAAAAAAAAAAAACAGAAAAATAATACATATCACCTTCTTTTCATTCAAAATTAAAACAACTCAACTCAACTCAAGCTCGTCTTTGCATTAACTCTGTTAACCACACAATAACCATGAGTTCCATTAGCAGAGGAAGTTCGGGAGGTTCATTATTTTTATAGACCCATGTTCCAGAGTAAAAAGCTCTGAGGTTTAATCCCACAATCCACTGCAGATCAAACCCAACGATTCCAAACACTGTTGTACAAGTGACACTGCAGCAGATTATTCATTAAACTCTTCTGCATAAATAAACTTTACAACATATAAAGAATAACTATAGATCCACATCAGCCCGTTTGAGATAATAATGTGTTTAATGCAACTTTGCGTTTTACAGAAACTAAACTTAAAACCGCATGGCTCATTTGCATAAACTGTAGTTGGGAAAAACAGTTGTTTCCTTGTGTCTGACGTGGTTCAGTTTGTGTTGGACTAAAGGACACGACTCAGTGGAATATGAGTTTTCTCTGTTCGTCCGACGCCTCACAATCCAAGTATCTCTGTATAATGGAGCCAGTTGTCCTTTTCTGAGATAAGTTCTGTATTCTCCGGGCTGGGTTTAGGCGCCGCCATGTTCAATGAGACACACGTGAGGGGAGCATGGGAGAGGAGGGGGAACAGAAGCAAGGAGGCGGGGCCCAGGGGCGTGACACAGAAACGGCAAATAAGCGAAGTGGCGAAGTCAGACTATATGAGCATAATATTGATATACGTATACGATATGTCAAAATCCACATCGAGTTTAAAAAATATCTCGATATATTTAAAATATGGAGATATCGCCCACCCCGACCTGTGAGGTATGTGAGTCGTGATCAAATCAACAAACACATGAGGAGAAGGAACAGGGAAGTGTGGCTCATGTGACTGAAAACAGTAAAGTCAATGAGAAAACTGCTGAGTTTATAAAAGGGCGTCTGTGTGTCAGTGTTGATTCTAATTATAGAGCTTCATAAATATTTACATCACAAACTGAAATAATCTACACCTACAAAAAATGAGGTCATAACAAATCTAATCACTATATTAATTCGATTTAACTGTGAGTTATTTCATGTTTTATGATATTCTAGTGTAAAACTCCCAGATGGTTTGCTTTGGTTTATTGCACTAAATGTTTACAATATTATTTGACAATCTCCATAACTTTGTCTAAAGCCACAAAAGAAAATCTTACCAGACAAACAGTGACTCTGTGGTGCATTTCCATGTTGTGTATAAAGTCGTATTCATGGTGCAAACTCCTTTTGTGAGACGCTGGACTTCAGAATCTGAAATGTAAAGTTCTGTTTTAGAAACATTTAACAAAGACAAAGAAACATATTTTTATATTATAGAAACATATTTTGACATTACTGAACACATTTGACACTCAGAGCCTCAGTAGCTTTACTCTGATACACTGCTCTTCTAAATATGACAAAACTTTACACTCGGGACACGGGGACAGGGGGGACAGGTGCATCAGTCTCACCCTGTACACTCATTCCTTCCATCAGATGAAAATGAAAATTCCAGGGAGTAAACCAGCAAGTTTTTTTGTTTTTGTTCTTTTTCATGCTCCGTTTAACCCCAAACAAATTCCAGTTCTATTGATCCAAAACAGATTCAATCAGTTTTTATGAGTCAAAACCAAATTATGTCCCAAAGTATTGATAATAACCTGTTCTGAAAATATTCTCCATGTGCATGTCTCTTGTTAAAGTAATCTGTAAATCTGGAGGCTGCTTTTACTTTTACTTTGGAGGAAGGAATTTGTGAACTGAAATACATCCAAAACCACTTCTCCAAAGCAGAGTTCACAGCTGCTGGACGGACGTGGATCAGCGATAAAACTCAGAGTTTTAATAAACATCATGTGTTATTGTGTTAGTCGTGCTGATCATTAGCCTAAAGAAATAACTGCACAGGCTGAAACATTTTCAGATGATCGGCTTATTGTATTCCCAGTCCTCCTCTTTAAGAGATTCTGCTACATTTGTCCTAATTCACTTTTATTTGATCGGCTTATTGTATTCCCAGTCCTCCTCTTTAAGAGATTCTGCTACATTTGTCCTAATTCACTTTTTATTTGATTAAAATACATTTTACTGTGGACAATGTGCAGATCTCTGAGGTTCCACTGAGTGAAGCAGTAGATCAGCTCTGGGTGAAACTCTGAGGACGTGGATCTGTTTGAAGTGGTTCAAAACCCACAGCAGGGAAACACACAACGTCTCATTTGACTTGGTGTTGTTTTGTTTTGAAATACTCGAGTATAATAACGTTTGGTTCCTCTTTTCACTGTGAGTAAATCAACAAGAAAAAGAAAAAAAAAAGGAACATCTAGCTTTAGATTTGGTTTTGTTTAAATGTTTGTCTATTCTTTAACAATACCAGACTCTGTTTGTTTCTCAGTTTTATTCGTCTTTTTAACAGCTGTTGAATAATTGTTTAGGTCAGTGGCCAAGAGGATCCAGCTGCCCTGAGCTCCTACTAAAACTAGGACCTCCCTGGTTTGTGTTGGTGATAATAAAATAGTGAAACAAGTGTGTAAGAAAAATGTGAGTCAGTTTAGTCACATTTTCTTTGTGTTTTTAAGCAGATTTTCTGTATTTTTTCCTAAAACAAATAACAGTTTATGTGTCTGTTTACAGTTGGCAGATTGATCAAAATAGAGACACCTGGAACATTTCTTGTATAAAACTGGAACAAATCAGTGGTTTTGTATAAATCTGCAGGAACAGAGACACAAGGCTAAAAACTGAGTCTGTCCCAGGGAAACAGGGACATCAGGTCATTCTGTCCGTGTGACCTGGTGTCGCGTCTCCGAATTTTTCATAATGGAGCAGTCCAACCTGAAGTGTCCTTACCTGCACATTTCGACTCCTAAACCGCGTCTGCTGCAGTCCTGTAGTCCAAAAAACAACCACCAGCAACTACTGCAGGTTTAATCGTGTTTTACTTTGTTTTCTTGCTACAGCTTATGTTTCAAAATGATGTGTTGTTAACTCAGTCCTATTCAGAAAAAGGAAATGTTCACATCCTTTAATCGTGTTATAGTTTTTCCCCTCCGCATTTACTCACCAGAAGTTGTGTTTGGAAAGAATCATCAGTGTTTTGAGTCATCTTTGTCTACGTCGTACTTTTTCATTGCGCCATTTTACCCCCTGAGCCGTTTAATCACCGCAAAAGACAAACGTTCGACTTCCGGTGTAGATACGTCCATAACCGCACAATTCTTTAACGATAATAACATACAAAATATTCACAGTTACATAGCAAAAAAAAAAAAAACACGCGTTTTTTCCGCGGAACAAAATCCTGCAAATGACCCACGGACACAACCGAGGGACCGACAACAAATGACAATACAGAAAAGAAACGTTGAATTACTCACACTTCATATTTGGAGCTGTGACCCTCTGTAAGTTACAAATATAAAATACAATTCAGCCCACGGACGTCTGGGCATAGTGTGGTACAGTGCACACAACACACACACACACACACACACACACACACACACACACACACACACACACACACACACACACACACACACACACACACACACACACACACACACACACACACACACAAACACACACAACACACACACACACACACACACACACACACACACACACACACACACACACACACACACACACACACACACACACAACACACACACAAACACACACACACACAAAACAACACACACACACACAAACACAAAACACACACAAAAACACACAAACACACACACACAAAAACACACACACAAAAACACACACAAACACACACACACCTATGTGACATCAACGCAGTCAAAACACAGTACAAACATTTCACAGGACGAGCTACAGGTTTGGGCTGGACTTATATTTAGTGCTGTCAAGTGATTAAAAAAATTGAGAGATTAAATAATTATGATCTGTAATTAATTAATCTAATTAATCTCTTTTTTAATCTCACTCAAAAGCCTCAACTTGAGGTATTTTTCATATTTAAAATGATTTTGCTTGGCGCATTTCACACATCACAGTCTCTGTTTATTTAGTGTCGTGTGATTGGACAACTGTCCTGTCAAGTCACGTCACGTCAACCTGCTGCGTCAACTCGTAGCAGCTCCACGATTAGCGACAGCTGCTACTTTAGCCTAAAGCTCCACACAGGAAATGACGAGAACAGAGTCAAAGACACAGACAGACCCGCCACCGGGACCCGGGACTGTCGCCGCTGGGACCCGGTGTTCCGGATTGTCTGGTGATCAGCTTAACTGGTAAAGGCGGGGCCACATCTGGAAGCATGGGGGATGTGTCCTCTCGCTTCATTCACTCCCATAGAGACACAAAACTGCCAGAGCTGTATTGTCGCGTTAAACCTTCTTTATCGTGGCGTATTATTTCCCCATTGAAAAAATAATCCAAATGTTTCCCGCACATGTTCCCATCAAGACCTGGTTTGAAATAACAAACGTTGCTCTTTACTGCAGCGCATGAACGCAGCTCAAACACTTGATCTGTTCGCTGCTCCAGACGCTCCTATAACAGGTGACATATCACTGTGTCATGTAACAAATAAACATGGTCAAACACAAAATACTGTCCGTGTCTTCACTGTCATGAATGTAGTGTTTGTGTAAACATGTACAGGCTTATATAATGTGTATAATGATCTAGTTCACACAATTTGCTACCAAAATAGGGATTGACTCATTGGATCATTTTGACACAATCACCCAGAGTGAAAATATTACACAACATCTCGCTGTGAACACAACAGGTAGACTACACATCTCCTGCTTCCAGATCCAGATGTGGTGGGCGTGCATCATGCTCCCAATCCTTTTAGTCAGGTACAAAAGAAATAACTATCATATAGGCCAAAAGTCGTTTTACACGTTCAGTATTTGTCATCCCTAATGCACTGTGTAATTGGCTGGTCTAGAATAAAGAAAAAATGTGACTGCGTTTGCTTATTATACGCTTCGTGATACAGAATATACATTCATCTGACCAGAGACAGACAAGAATGTTTTAGCATCAAGATCACTGAAAAACACTACACAATGAACATATAAACTTCAGTGACGACAAAAAGCCTCCAGTCAAAAAGGCTTCTATGCAGCCGCAGCGCAGCAACAACCAGATCAAGTGGTTAAGGCACGTGCACGCACATCTGCAGCCGAGTGGACACGCCCACCACATCTGGATCTGGATGCAAAAGATGTAGTCTACCTGTAGTCTACAGTCAGATGTTTTATATCTGGTTTTATCCTAGTTTAGACCTAGTTTAGACCCATATTAAGGCAGCAAATTGTGTGAAATGTCACATTGCATACATGTACATATAATATAGGCCGATCTCTACACACGCAGACCCCTGAGAGTAACAGGACTGGCAACAGTTTATCTTTGAGTATTTTTATCGGCAGGTTTGCGACTTGAAAGAAAACACAAGAACCATAATATTAGTTGTTGACATGGAGCGTCTACAGCAGCAGCAGCGCAGCGACAACCAGATCAAGTGGTTAAGGTGCACGCCCACCGCATCTACAGCTGAGTGGACACGCCCACCACATCTGGATCTGGAAGCAGGAGATGTGTAGTCTACCTGTTGTGTTCACAGCAAGATGTTGTGTAATATTTCACTCTGGGTGATTGTGTCAAAATGATCCAATGAGTTAATCCCTATTTTGGTAGCAAATTGTGTGAACTAGATCATTATACACATTATATAAGCCTGTACATGTCTACACAAACACTACATTCATGACAGTGAAGACACGGACAGTATTTTGTGTTTGACCATATTTATTTGTTACATGACACAGTGATATGGCAGCTGTTATAGGAGCGTCTGGAGCAGCGAACAGATCAAGTGGTTGAGCTGCGTTCATGCGCTGCAGTAAAGAGCAACGTTTGTTATTTCAAACCAGGTCTTGATGGGAACATGTGCGGGAAACATTTGGATTATTTTTCAATGGGGAAATAATACGCCACGATAAAGAAGGTTTAACGCGACAATACAGTTTCTGGCAGTTTTGTGTCTCTATGGGAGTGAATGAAGCGAGAGGACACGCCCCCCATGCTTCCAGATGTGGCCCCGCCTTTACCAGTTAAACTGATCACCAGACAATCCGGAACACCGGTCCCTCAAGTCTCAGGTCTATAGGACAGGACTGGACGGCGACTCGCGTACCACGCTCACTACAGCCCTGGGTGCTGTCCGATGCGTGCCTATTTCTAGTTCAGAGGTGTTTTTGACGAGAGGCTGTTTACAACCAGTGGCAGGACTTATTGTTTTTTTAATAAACCTCAACCTTTTATTATTGTCTTGTGTTGTATCGTCTACCACACAGCCTCAACAACTATTGCAGCTAATAATAATAATAATCTTAATATAATAATGATTATAATAACAACACATAATTAGCCTAATACTGTTAAAGAAAAACATGTTTGATAGCATGTCTGCTGTGTATGACTCCACCGCGTTGAAATATTTCTCAAATGGCAGTGCGCCCCCTGCTGGTGACCCACGCCCCTCCAGTAGATGAGCTCTGACGCCGACTCTGTGTGGGAGCGAGCGGGTGGATGATAAACTTCAGTCCCACAAACTAAATATAAGTGTAAAGTCAAATATACAAATGATTCATGTTTGTCTCACGCATCATTTTGTGCTGGAGATTTTATTTTGGCTTTAATAAAAACATTTTAAACAAACTAAACTTGCAGACGTTGCTCAGAGGGGGTTCTCTCTGCGACAGAGGGGTGTTCTCTCTGCGACAGAGGGTGTTCTCTCTCTGCGACAGAGGGTGTTCTCTTCTGCGACAGAGGGGTGTTCTCTCTCTGCGACAGAGGGGTGTTCTCTCTCTGCGACAGAGGGGTGTTCTCTCTCTGCGACAGAGGGGTGTTCTCTCTTGCGACAGAGGTGTTCTCTCTCTGCGACAGAGGTGTTCTCTCTCTGTGAGAGGGTGTTCTCTCTCTGCGACAGAGGGGTGTTCTCTCTGTGTGACAGAGGGTGTTTCTCTCTGTGTGACAGAGGGGGTGTTCTCTCTGTGTGACAGAGGGTGTTCTCTCTGTGTCAGAGGGTGTTCTCTCTGTGTGACAGAGGGGTGTTCTCTCTGTGTGACAGAGGGGTTTCTCTCTGTGTGACAGAGGGGTGTTCTCTCTGTGTCAGAGGGTGTTTCTCTCTGTGTGACAGAGGGGTGTTCTCTCTGTGTCAGAGGGGTGTTCTCTCTGTCAGGGGTGTTCTCTCTGTCAGAGGGGTGTTCTCTCTGTGTCAGAGGGATGTTCTCTCTGCGTCAGAGGGATGTTCTGCTGATGCTGAGTCTGTCAGACGTGTGCAGGTTTATCACAGATGTGACGAGAACGGGAATGAAAATTAGGCGACAATTCTTTGCGGGAGCGAGTGGAGCAGGACTGCACAGTGCGACTGTGTCCTAACAACACAGAAAAACAGATTTTATAATAAGACAATTCGCACAGAAACAGTAAAGTTAGAGATTAAAAATGAGATTAACACAATTAAAAAACATAACACGCTAAATATGACTGTAATTAATTAATCACAATTAACGTGATAATTTGACACCCCTAATTATATAGTTTATAGTATGGAGAATATAGTTATAATCATTTAAAAATATCAACCAACCAGCTTTATTTATAAGTTTTATTACCTTTTTATGATAAAATATGGGCATTTCCTTCCTACACTGAACCAGGTCTGAACCAGGATCAGACCCACACCAAGACCTCGAGAACCGTGGCCTCGGATTTGGAGGAGCTGATTTCCGTCCCGGTCGCTCGGCCGCAAACCCCCAGTGCTGCAGGTCCTGGTTTAGTCCATAGACGGTTTATAAACGGACGTAACTCACCTGCGAGTCGCCGCCGAAGTCCAAAGAGGAAACACCTCCAGCTCCTCCAGACTCTCAGTCCACATCTTCACACAGTCTCTGGTTTAGTCCTGGTCCTCTGTCCATAAAACCCCACAGGACACCACGAGGGACACGTCACACAGAGCCCCCCCCACAGGACACGTCACACAGAGCCCCCCCACAGGACACCACGAGGGACACGTCACACAGAGCCCCCCCACAGGACACGTCACACAGAGCCCCCCACAGGACACCACGAGGGACACGTCACACAGAGCCCCCCCACAGGACACGTCACACAGAGCCCCCCACAGGACACGTCACCACAGAGCCCCCCCCACAGGACACCACGAGGGACACGTCACACAGAGCCCCCCCACAGGACACCACG